AAATTATCGATGATACACATCAGTTACAGCAAATTTTTAGAAACCAAAAGCTTTCTTCGACACTCATATTCGTTATTGAAATGGTCAATAGATGGTCCAGCTTGTGAAAAGTCGTTTATAAATAACTCTCTTGAATATTTGCTCTTAATTGTGGATTTCTGAGACACTTTTTCAGAGCCAAGAGTTACGAAAACTAACACAGACATAGCTGATTCAAATAAATGTTAAAACACGATGCCCTTTGATATTCTAGGCAAATCAACGCTAATCAACGCTATTGCTCAGAAAGACGTTTTACCAACAGGTATGATGAAAACGACTAGTGCTATCATTGAACTACGGTACAGTGAAAGTGCTAGCTTTTCGACCTTGGAATTAGATACAAGCTCCGACTTTGTTCGTCAGTCATTAGAGTTCGATCATTTTCCTGACAAGCCATCAGATGCTTTGAAGCTCTTTATTTCCAACAAATCACACCATTGGTCATTTTCGCGCGGTCGGATCAAGTATCCGTTGCCATTGTTAGCAAGCGGTATTGTTATTCACGATTTACCTAGTTTAAATGATACTGATGAATTGACAGAAGTTGTGGAACAACACATGATGACATGCCAAGCATTTATCTGTGTGCTTAAACGTGGTCTAACGCGTGTGTCTTGCCGAATACTTCGACAACTCATTCATTTGGGATGCAAGCCGGCTTCAATATTTTTCGTTATCACTCACATGGAAGAATACTCAATGGAGGTGAAAGCAACAATCATTGATAGAGTACGCAGAGATTTGGAGGAGATCGACAAGAATTTTAAGCATTCTGACATTGTCTCTATCGATCCACGCAGAGTTCTCGATATTTTCATTGAGCATAATCTATTTACAATAGAATATTCTGAATTTATGGCCCGTGTAACTTCATTTGTCTGTCGAATATTATGGTTCAAGCTGGATCTAGTTAGTGAATATCTCGGTAAAAACTCTTGCTATATACTGACGCATTTATAATTATGTCTGCATTTCAGCTCATAAACTTCGACGAATATGTGCATTGATGCAGATTATTCATGATCGAGTTGCATCCGTTATCGAAAAGTGTAAGAATCAAGAAGTAACAATTCAGGAGCGCCGATTGCATTTTCAAAAGGATCGCCACCGATTGAAGTTGAAGTGTGACGATTTGATAGTGCCTTTGCTTACGCAAGCAAGTGATATAATCGTCAAAGAACTGCAAAGCACAGAGTTCCATTCTCGTTTTAAAGCATCCATCATAAACATTCCGTTCAAGGAAAACATCGGAGAACACTTAAGATCAAATCAACAATTGAGCAGAGAGTTAGTTGTAGCAGAACTAGATTTATATCGGCTCTATCTTCAATATGAATTCGAACGTTGCACAAAACAAGAGCTTGAGCCACTGCTGAACAATTTAGCGTCGGTGGCTATTGATGAATTGGGAAAAATGCTTGGTGATGATTTTTGTTTGATGTTCGACGAGAGAAGCAGCTTTTTCGAACGATTGCAAACTATGCACTTTCAAAAAATGTTGAAACATCATCAACACATTTTGAGAAATATGTTGGAAACTCCCCAGCTTCAATTAAACAGATTCACTGAAGTATTTTTGTCTCACTATCTTATCGGAACACCAGTGATCATCTCCTCAATTTTTGACGTAATCTTGAATCGTAGTGGTCAAGCACTGGCCGAACAAAGTCAGTGGGAAAACTTTCGTCACAAGCTAGCACAGAGATTTTGTGGGGAACTAGCCAAGCTTGGTGAGTCGAGTTCTACCGAAAGGCGGCATCAATACATCATTCATGTTGAAGAATGTATCAGGGATACTATGCTTATCATTGAAAAGGTCTATATCGGAACCACAGAGCAGATGCAAGAAAATACGAATCAGTGTAAGAAGGCGACTGATCTATTAGACTGGTGTAATTATTATCAAGGAAAAAAAATCCCACCACTTCGTTCTACTCTCAATAGGGTACTAACATCAAGTCTTGACCGTTGGTCTCTCTCAGCAGACATGATTTATCAAAAAGCTCAAATAAATGATTTATTACACGATGAAAACTCTCACGTCTTCGAAGCTGAACTTAAGTACACACCGACGTGTCAATCGATTAGAGTATATGTACGTCGATTGTCGGGTGATTTTTGTGCTCTACATGTCTGCAATCAAACTCGTTCGATATATGAACTCAACCATCCTAATGTGTTGCACTGCTATGGAGCATATCCAAAAGAAAATTATGTTTATGTTGTGACTGAACCTTGGAAAAAAACATTAAGGGTAGCATTAAAACAAGACGACAATTTTCATTTAGAGCAGAGCCTTCAAATGGCTATCGAGTTAACAGATATTTGTTCACAGATGTCCCCGCTAATCGCTATTGAACATTTGACAGAAGATAATCTTCTCATTGCACACGACCATCATATCAAAGTGAATCTGTTGACATATAGACTTCCATCATGCTTTCAGAACGATGACGATCATGATGAGTTAAGAAAACAAATGCAAATTATTCATGCACTCGGCGTCATTTTTAGTCGCCTCTTTACACGTAATGAAGATAATAGGACGGTCGCTCAATCACTGCGTTCGCTCGCTAATCGTTGTTGCAAACAGACGGAGAACGATCATGATCAAATGTTATCATTAAGACAAATTTTACACACTCTAAAAATCAAGCAAGTAAGTCGAAGCATCTATGAGCAGATATCAATTGATAGCATTCTCATTTAGTGGAACTAACACATAGTTTTTGAGGATAAATAGTGAGTGTAAGTTGTGAGCCAAGATTTTGCCCCTTCTCCCTCTTCTCTCCTTAATATCCACCTTCATAGTAACGAGGGTCAAACGTCATCGGATACAATTCCATAGCAATTGTAGATAACCACCACGACACTCATTTTCCATATTTCTTTAGTAACGGAAAAATGCTCTAAGCAGCATTAAAAACAAATTTTAGACTCTTCTAGAAGGTTCTAGTGCATTCTAAAGCATTCCTCGATATTTGAATGGCCGTAATGCATTTGAGAATATTCTAAATAGTGCAATTTATGACTTTTGAGCGTGTAAAAATCATATGATAGATGTCAAAGACGATCAGTAGTGATGCATTGATTTGTCACAATTGTTATATGATCGACAATTAAAAAAACGTGAACTGGTCAAGTCATAACTTCGGACAATAACCAATGTTAGTGCTTCTGAGTTTATCAAGATAAATAATAGCGTTCTGAGGCTGCTAGTAGATATAATAGTTATGTACAACAGGCTTATTTGTCAGTTAAATCAATGGGTAGAATAATAGTAATGTTAAGTTAAGAAAAATGGAATATGAATAGGAAATATAAAGAACGAATAGCAGCAAGACAAAACAGAAAGTAGAGTACCAGCGACAAAAAATGATTTTTATTTGAAATGCAGAAATAAACACAATAGATCGCTTCTCTGTCGATCGATTATCATCCAGAAAAAATCTATAGTCTGCTAGAGATTTTTCAATCAACGTATTTTATATGAGTATAATGCAACTAAAGAACAGAGTGCAGTGTAGGTGTGTATGAGGGTGTGCGGGTAGGAGCACAAAACACTTGTGCTCAAATCCACATTCACTCCAGCACCTGCATCCACCACGACAGCCACACTCACACTCATACCACTCCCGTACACTACATGCACACATCAATTTAAGATACCGACTAGAAACGGTAGTCTTAGTATTCCTCACCAAAAGTGACCTAGATAGGGAGATTAAGAAGATACTTTTTTTCAAATCAGAATTTCAAGTATAAGGATATCCACGCTGAGTACCACTAAAGTGGGTTTCGAAAGACGGCTAAGCTGATTTTTTTTATGAAGTTGTAAATCAAAGATAGGAGTTTGAGATACTGAATATCAGCTCCCAAACGGTTCCATATTTGAGAGAACACCCAAGGCTAGAAATCAGCATTTTCATTCAAGACTCAATTTTGTTTCCAATTCGTTGAATCAAACTGTGTTATATCCGAGTGAAACTTTAGGTTAATAGAGTGAGTGTTCTGTTAAGCCATACTCCACCTACCTAAATCCTCACCAAAACTCTCGTAATCTACGCCCATGCCCACGTCCACACCAACCCACCTAGCTAAAATTCAACTTGTAGAATTAAAGATATTAAACCGTGTTAGACAACCTAGTTCCATACTTATTACAATCAAAGTCTCTTTGATGTAGCTATCTATTATAGATGGATTTTGCATCTTTTGTTTATTACTTCTTTTTTACATAGCTTAACCTGCAATTCGACGATTTGGCATCCCATAATATTGTGGTAAAAAAACGCAAACCATGCGGCTTGCTTGCAATTGACGGCGGCGGTTCTCGAGGTATAATCGCTGCAAAAATTTTGCAACAACTCGAAAGTATGAGCTGTAAACCACTATGGAAAATCTTTGATTATGGTGCTGGCGTTAGTACTGGTGGTTTGTTGGTCTTATCGACCCTGTTGAGAAGGACACCGTCACATCAAATCCTGCCTATGTACCAAGATTTGTGCGAGAAAGTTTTTTCATCTCGTCTCACACGTTTTCATGAATACTCTGTGAAAGCACTTGAGCTCCAGTTGAAACAACACTTCGGCGAAATACGAATGACACGTATTAACAGGTACACCCCACATGTGTTGGTAGTGACCAAAAGAAACTATGAGCCTGAGCCGTATCTTTTGCGAAACTACGATATACCGGACGATGTGACCACATTCAAAGGCGAATCTGGTTGGCTGTGCTCAGAAGCAGCACGAGCAACCACTGCAGCGCCAACATTTTTCTCGCCATTTGAGCGTGAGGGAATTCAGTACACAGATGGCGCCATGGGTTTTGATAATCCGGTTCTGCTACTCTTCAAAGAAGTCCTTCTTCTATTATCCAAATCTGGTAACAATAACGGAGGCAGCAAGCGATCTTTTCCCAATATCGACTACATTGTCAGCATTGGTACCGGTAAGATGGATGATTTGCCAGCACCAGTTGGATCACCGAAGACTGGCATAGCACGCATGGTTGAAACAGCACAGTTGGCTGTCGAACTAGTAACCAATTTTGAGAATGCTCATTATCAAATGCAAATGTTAGCTGAAGCGTGTGGCAATATTCCCTATTTTCGCTTCAATCCTGAACTACCTGAGCGACTGCCACTGGACATACGAACAAAGGCTGAGCTCGATAAATTAGTCGATCTCACTACAAACTATCTGAACGATCATGACAAGGGTATACCTGAACAAATCGAACGATTTATAGCACTTGTCAACAGCAGATGAACTATAAGTGACCTCTCTCCTGAACAAATTTGTTTCGACCATCTAATCTTGATGAAATTTTTACAGGAAATGTATCTCAAATTCGACACTTTACAATAAAAATATCAGTTCGTTATATTGCGACTAAAAGAAGTGAAACTAAGATTATGTGCCAAAATGTAAGTGTTTATACTTCCCAAATTTCTCTACCATTTTAAAGGCTACAAAGTTCAGGTTAGTTTTGAAATGTAGCCAAGACAGGGTGCTACAAATTAACCGAGCTCGATTTTTCCGTTTTTTCTGGTTTGTGTGTCTCGAAGCCCCCTCGGATAAATACAGAATGTGGATGTGGTGTCGGGATGGATGGCTTTTTTTAAAATAACACCCACACCCTTATATCTATGTTATCATCAGTAGATGTATCGTCGGATTCCGTTTCAGCACCTGAATAATCTGAGTTATAATTCGACTCGTCGTCTTCAGAAATATTTTTGCCCAATTCAGTAGTAATGTTCGTTATAAGAATCTCTCGAATTCTCTTTCGATTGGATTTACTTGACATTTTTTTTATCTAAGAAAACCGGAAAACTGTTAGAATTTCTGTGCTTGGAGAGCTCTTGAAGTTTTCGCACATAATGCGTTTTCAAGGAAAAAAAACGAGAACGGTCATTATGACTAGAAGCAATGGCAAGAATGTTTTGATCAAAATGTAACAAAATCTTTGAGACACATATGAAAACAATATTCGAAACACCATTAGCAGCGACCAATTGGCGAATCGCCTGAAAAATAAATCCTTGAAACGACAGACTGCGGGTCCTACAAGAGTAAAAATCATCTGTATAACACGAAGGTTGTTAGGAGTTCCATGCAGATCCAGTCGTTAATATTTTTCCTTTGAGACCTGTACGCATAACTTCATATAGCTTCTATGTATCATTAGTAGACTAGCAATTAGAGAAAAGGTCGCTCAGAAAAGAATAGATATTGCAGTAGCAGTAAACAAAATACAGCCTTGTGGGTCCAACTGGGCCTACAAAAACCATCCGACGGTTGAGATCAATTAATAACATATATGAGAATAAAACGATGTCTCATCATTATTTACTATGAAAATATGTAAAAACATAGGAGACTGAGAGACTAAAAACTGTTGAGTATGCACATTTCAACATTTCAGATAAAATAAGTTTTAATAGTTTTGTTCACACGCTTGAGATTACTATTTCAGTTCTTTTTTTTTCTAAAATTAACCAAGAAACTAATTTCCTGCTGTAAACTTCATCATCGGTTTAAATATAAACTCAATAGTTGTTCTAAGTTATTTTACAAAATTGATCCGTCGGATAGAGTCGCATAAGATACCATTATTTTTTTTTTAATAAAATTCATCAAATGAGAAAAAGATTTCTTTTACAACGAATTGCGTAAATCTAATATTCACTTTGTTATAATTCTTAACAATGAGTTGAGTATGACAGGCACGCCGTCAAAAGATCGCTGTACTGGGCTTGCTATTTGCCACTGGAATGACTTTTTTCTGGTGGAGACAGACATACACGGTCACTATGACTGTTATTTATAAATCTTTTATAGTTAGATAGTTAAATAGTTATCATTATAGGTTACAGTTAAAACTAAAATTATCAGGAACGGGAGAGCTCTAAATGCGATAGGATGAGACCATCGCATCCCAGTCAGAGCTCTATTTGGTGATGTCAGTGTTTTTTAATGATACTCTGAAAAGAAAATGATCAGTACAGTGTTAGTTTTTCATGCAATATTTCGAATAGATGTAATATACTATTAGACAACTGTGTTCGGCAATATAAAAACAAACATGAATAAATTGTTTTTCTTTAAATAAATTGCTAAAATATGTAACTGAAAAAAACTTTAAAATGTTATTTACTTCATTTTTCGAAAATAATCAATAAAGTCACAATATATATTTTAATGATTGGACAATAAAGTACCTTTTTCAATGGTAATCAAAAATAATTTCTAAGTCATTTCTATAATATTCTTTTTTTCGTCTTATTAGAAATAGACACTCACTCCATTAGATCTTTCGACCAATATAATTGAATTTAAAACAGTATCTTTATTAGCTGATACATTACAATATAGTATAGTAAATTTAACACTCTGTCCATTTATCGTATTTATCTCATATATTTTTAAACATAGAAGCTTATCATCCTAATCTTAGTTATCAACAAATTGATTGTGAAAAAATAAAATATCCAGCAAATGCATTAAAATATAACACAGTAGGAACAGATTCTCTATCAATCTATCTGATATTAATTTGTACTATTCAATTGAATCAATCACTACATTGAATATATATAACAATGAAATTCATGATAAAGACGGACAACATTTTGCTAATAGGTTACAGCATAATCAAGTAAGATGTATTTATCTTACACACCAGAGATGTTCATTGGGGTTTGCATGAGATGATACCCCAAATGGGAATGGAGCGACATGGCACTCCATCGCCTTTCCTCACAGAGGTAAACTTTTGCACATTTATTTCTTCACTCGTGGTCTGGATCATGGGATGATCATTTTTCTTATCCCATGGTCTAAATGAAGTTTTTAAACTCATGAGAAAACTTGGAGAGATAGATGAACATATTGTAGAAAGTTTCTTATTGTCTTAGTAATGCAACGTGCTACACGTGCGATGCTTCCTAATTGAGGAACAGAGCCGGTTTCGATTACCAATTCTTTTCAAAAAAAAGTGATGTCACTAAACATCTGATATTAATCCTTCCCAATCATGTGACTAAACTGCACAAGTGTGTTGGAATGGAAGTGTCGGAAGCTTATATCTAGGACAAAAATCAGATATTTAACAACCCAGCTCATGCAACAAGAACTAATCATTGTACCCAGTTCTCACTAAAAGAATGAGTCATTGAGCTCAGTTTTCAAAAAAGAACTAGTTCATCGAACTGGTAACTGTCACAGATCTATGCACGTTTTGCTCACACATTTTCTCATTTTCTCGCTCGTAGATTTTCTGCTATCCTTTGTTTTGTGTTTCTTTGCGTATTCATATTTTGTTTTGAAAAACTAAATAATCTTTTTTTGTTTACCCCGTGGGATATTTCGTCAAGGGTAAACTGAATTTTAAAAACTCAGTCTCTCTATCGGTGAGGAAAACTATGTTATAAAAATTGACTTGTAGGGCATCGTACCTATGACGTACTCATAGGTACCATCGAGCGACACAAAATATCGCATGAAAATCTGTATTACGCACCTATGGATATTTGTAATTATTATTCAAAATAAGATACGTACATTATTAAATCTTTCTTCTAATTTAATCATTGAAATAGATGTCGAATACATAGTAAACCGACTAAAAAAGATGCCGTATAATTAAATTTTTATCTATCGATAGTGTATATATAGATATGATTTATTGTAGACATTGAGAATGCTAGATTCTCCAGTAAATAGAATCGATTCCACAGTGTGCAGAAAACACCTATTGCAATCGTTTATTATTTTGCTCGAAAGTCGTAAACGCTACGAACGGTAAATTGCCAGCATACTATCTGTTCTTACGAGTACCGCAGTATTCGGCAGTACTGCGAAAAAACTTGCAACATGAGTGATACTTTGTTCCTGAGAACTTTCTCATTGGTATTATATTTTCTTTAGAAGCATGCTATTCACAATTCTTTTTTTTTCTGTTAATGAGAACCTTTTAACAACATTTTTGAGTTGCTTCATATGTAAACTGATAGATACCGTTGAATTCCATACAATGCAATAAAGTATGATTCTAAAAAATGTCTGATTGCCATTCTGAATCTTTGTTAAGATTACGTCGATCATTGAATTAACGCAACAAAATTCGAGATATGGCTGTTGGTATGGATTTAAGTGTAGATGTGGAGTGTGGGTTAGAATCTTCTGTTCATCAACTTCCACTCTATTCTCACACTCATATCCTGATCCATCAAATCAAAGTGCTAGAAAAATCTTTGATAAAAAAAAGAAGTTTGATATTTTTCAATCTCGTATTTTCTTGAACAGCCATACCAAATAGCATTAATACTAGTCTCTCATAATGTTCTGTTAATTAACAAACAGAATGTGAGAAGCTATATATTGGATGAATTATTGCTACTACTAGCAATAATTAATTCATACTAAGATTGCTCCCTAATTGTGCTTCATTATGTCTACATAATGAACATAAAAATCCACAAGTTATTAATAATATCCGAAGTTCACCTTGAGCGAATGAAATGTCATACTGAAAGTCAAATCATATTTTAATCATATAGAAGCCTCAACTTTTCTAATAACGTTTCAATGAGCATCAGCCGATTTGTCGTTCTCGACATCATTGCTTCACAAATTATAGACTTTGGATTTGGAATTCGAAAAAACAAATAAAAATGCTCAACTGATCACTATAAGACTCTTCTCACCTTAACCCTTTGACGGTGAAGCCGAAGTATAGTAAAATAGGCGTTTTCAATATTTTTTGCGCTCAGTCATAGATGTCACTGATAACGGGATTGCATATTTCAACCAAACGTGAGTGCAAGAGTTATGATCACGAATAATTTTCCACGTATATCATATTAAAAATAGATTTTTACTTTATTTGTTTTCAAAATAAATTCACCGTCAAATTGTTCATAAAGATCATGTGCAGTATAACACATCCTCATATATATATATATAGGTATCTGCGCTTAAGGCAAGTCAAAATTAGTAGCAAAAATACTGTAATTTATTACAAAAACCTTAATGAAACTTTCTCTTTATATAGACTGATAGTAAAAACGACAGTCTATTTTTCTGTTCTATTACATCATTCTTCAATCAATATCATAATAATAAAATTTCAGTAAGTCTTGTTTGATTATGATTTGTGACGATTACATTAGTTCATGTTGTCTTCGATATGTATTTTCTTTTTGCTCTTCTTTCTCTCTTTTTTTGTTCTTTTTCCTCGTCTAGTCTAATGTCTAACAGTCTAT